CAATATGAAACCTGGCCCTATATGAAATTACGCCCTTTGTGAAACTGTGCCCAATATGAAACTGTGCCCTATGTGAAATTACACCCTTTGTGAAACTCTGCCCAATATGAAACTCTGCCCTGTGTGAAATTACACCCTTTGTGAAACTGTGCCCAATATGAAACTGTGCCCTATATGAAATTACGCCCTTTGTGAAACTGTGCCCAATATGAAATTATGCCCTTTGTGAAACTGTGCCCTATATGAAATTACGCCCTTTGTGAAACTGTGCCCTATATGAAATTACGCCCTTTGTGAAACTGTGCCCAATATGAAATTATGCCCTTTGTGAAACTGTGCCCAATATGAAACTGTGCCTTATATGAAATTACGCCCTTTGTGAAACTGTACCCAATATCAAACTGTGTCTATATGAAATTACGCCCTTTGTGAAACTGTGCCCAATATCAAACTGTGTCCTTTATGGAATTACACCCTTTGTGAAACTGTGCCCAATATCAAACTGTGTCCTATATGAAATTACGCCCTTTGTGAAACTGTGCCCAATATCAAACTGTGTCCTATATGAAATTACGCCCTTTGTGAAACTGTGCTCTCTCTGAATCGGTGCCTTATGTGTAACAGTGCCCTTTGTGAAATGTGCCTTGTAGGAAATTACGCCCTTTGTGAAACTGTGCCTTGTAGGAAATTACGCCCTTTGTGAAACTGTGCCCCATTTGAAACTATGCCCTATGTGAAACTGTGCCGTTTATGAAATTGCGACACACAGACGGAATATATGACCCATTCAGGCCAATATTGAGTGAATGAATATGGTTTTACGCCGCTTTTAGCAATATTCCAGCAATATCACAGGGACACCAGAAATGTATGTCAAGAAGAGATGTTTTCAATTTTTACCACTTTATGACAAGACTAACAATCTGTCACGATATGCTGCACATGATTTCCAAACTTTACACGCTAATCCTGCATGAGACAAATTTTCCATCCTGAGTCATAGATCTATGACGTCACATGTGATGCATTCAGTATGTTCGTTTGTGCATCGAACTAATCTAATATCTCTTGAATATGAGTACCGTATTCGACATAATAAGAGCCCCGCTCAAATAAGCGCCCACGGCGATATTTGCTAATATATTGGCTAGTGAACAATCCCAATTAGCACCCCTTCCGATTGATCAATGTACACAAGACCTATTTATTCGTGTATAATACGCACACATGCGTAATATGCGCCCTCAATTATGGGCAATTAAATTCTGGACAAATATATCTGTCGTATATAAACATTTCAGGCTGTCAGCATAAACCAAGAAATTTATCTTTCAACTGTTTTTTTTCATCAAAATAATATTCTAATAAGAGCCCCCTATTTCTAATTTTGAGAGCGCCCCGGGCGCTTATTACATCGAATACGGTTATTCTTCATATATTAACCAACATGTATGATATTCGCTTTTCTTTTGGCAGTGACTATATTATTAGATTATTATTAGATTCTGATCACAAAATCCATTTAGTCGCCTCTTATGTCACCAGCATAGGTTGCAGGGGACCTATATTCTTACCCAGAATTCCACTGGTCTAGTTCCCTTGTGCTGACGGTATGTTCGACATAGTGGTGATGTTTATCCCCTGTCTGCTACATCTACCAGAATATCTGGGAGACGGACAGCTGACCCACTGGTCTGGAGAAGGATGACAGCCATAAGTTAGTTAATGCTGCAATATTTGTCACAATCACTCTTTTGTGATAATCACAGCCGTAAATCAGGAATCACAGCGCCTTGATACTAAATCATTACACCAATGATAGAACCTCATCAAGCAACTCCTATTTGTGGAAATCTAAATTGGTTCATCTAAAGATGCAGTATTTCAGTTATATCACACGTCAGTTCCATAGGCTACAACAAATTACTTTTTTACAATTTTATCCACTTTTTTTACAAACTTGGGCAGACACATCTTTTATATTATTTTTAATTAAAAAAATTGTTTAATCTTTTGAAGGCATCTACAGACAGCTGTCACCGTATGTGGTTCTTACAAAGTGAGTTGAGGTGAGGTGAGGTGAGGTGAGGTGAGGTGAGGTGAGGTGAGGTGAGGTGAAATGGACTAGTTTGGCAAGGGTGGAAACTGGAATTTTAGTCACTTAACTCCCTTGCCTTGGGAAGATGGTTGAGAAGGTTTTTAACCAGAGCATAAAATATGCACAATAAATCTCCATAAACAATTAATTTGGAGTTTCTTGCATACAAATACCGTATTCGACATAATAAGCACCCAGGGCACTCTCAAAATTAGAAATAGGGGGCTCTTATTAGAATACTATTTTGGTGAAAAACAACAGGGTTAAAAGATTGTAAATTTTGTGGTTTATGCTGACAGCCTGAAATGTTTATATACGACAGTTATATTTTTCCAGAATCTAATTTCCCACAATTAAGGATGCATATAACACACGTATTATACACAAATAAATAAGTCTTTGTGTACATTGATCAATTGAAAGGGGTGCTAATTGGGATTGTTCACTAGCCAATATATTAGCAAATATTGCTGTTGGTGCTTATTAGAGCGGGGCGCTTATTACATCGAATACGGTATGCATGGAAAAGATTAAAACCCCAACAACATAACATCACTGTTGGTAATTAATTACTCAATATGGCCTTGTGTATCTGTATTTCTTTGCTGACTGAATGCAGGCATAATGTATGCATGGTGAGGTGAGGTGAAATTGGGTTTAACGTCGCGTCCAAGATTATTGCACTTATATAGCGACGTGCATGTACGTGTGTGTGTTTGTGTGGCTGCTTGTACTAGTCCGGACTGATGCCGATTTATAGTGCTAGCTCACTGAGATACCATGCCGCAGTTTAACATGAATACCCCACTCAGACACAGTATACTGACTCTGAGCCGACCAGTCCTTGTTTTAGCCCTTTAATGCCGAGCGCCAGACAGGGTAACAACAAGTACAATCTTTTAACGTCTTTTGGTATGACGCGGTCGGGAATCGAAGCCCAGACTTCCGCTCTCCAGGCGGACGCTCTACCACTAGACCACTAGAATGTATGCATGGACTCTACTGCAGGGAATTATGAGAATGTGTGCTATGTGTGCCTTGTTATAACTTAGACATGTTGGTTGGTTGGTTTGTTGTTTAACGCCACACTCAGCAATATGACAGCCACCTGTAAATAATGGCATCTGGGCCAGGCAATCAAATGATTGGCATTATGAGCATCGATCTCCACAATCTGGGGTATGATGACATGCATCAACCGAGGTCACCAAGCCTGACCATCTGATCCCTGACGATCTCAGATAAGAAGATACAACATATATTGACTTTGATTATAATTTTAGCTATAAGATGTAAAAAGTGATGGCCTATTATGTGAACACCAATAACGGAAATGGAGAGGGATATCACACAATACTGGATGAGATGGTAATGGGACTGTAAACCGTCTCAGCACCTAATAAGGCAGCTTGAGATGTATAACCCCTAGGGAGCTGAGAATGAAATATGACTCCAAATTCAAAAGGCTGATGATAATATAGCCCATGAGACTTCACTTGGTAAATGCTGCAATATAAAGGGACAAAAAGTTACTATGGCAACGAGGCCAGCATTGTGGTAAAATAGTAAACAGCACATACCTGGCCAGGTACGTAAGAAGGTTTCTAACTCGACGCCACTCCAGTCAAGAAAATTATTTGTTCCCTTTCCATTTAAGAATGACTGCTAGAAATAATATGTGTTCACTTTGCAACTCAAACTGTTGCATAAAACAGATCCTAATGCGACATACTGTAAATCTTGAAATTAATGCATCTCCAGATTGATACGACAGCTGACCCCAAATCAAAAAAAAAAGACTGAAAATCTCCCCCACCCCATCCCCATTAGAATAATACATATCCTTACCTTAATCTAACGATAAATGCAAAGTTCATCATTGCAAACAAAGACCACTCATTTTTTGCATTTAATTCACGCTCAATATTTACAGCATGTTTAGTTAATCACAAGCCAAGCCGATGAATACACAAATCCTAGATAAGAAGTCAAACGGTCCAATATATGGTGTTTACTATCAAGAAAAACGTGAATTTATTCATAGTTTACAACCAGTCATATTTTACTTATGGATTACAGGTATCGCCACACCCTTCACTGAACTGAGCCATCACTGCATTGCAAAACAACATCAATTTTTTGTCTAATGTCAAAATGTCCAGTTTCCACCATTGCCGAACTAGGCTGCAATTATGGAGTTATATTTTGGCTGGACTAACGAGTCTATGCATAGTCCAATCTAAATCACGTAACGAAATCGACATCCAGTCATATTTTGCTTATGGATGACGGGTATCGCCACTTCCTTAACTGAATTGCAAAACGACATCAATTTTTTATCTAACGTCAATAATGAAACTGCACATTAGAAATAATGGGAAATACAAAAATGCTAACATATTTATTCATTTACTCAAAAACATTTGCTACCAATAGAAAAGATGATGTTTTTGTCATAAATATTTTATACATTTGTGATTAAATACCAAGTTAAATACCAATAATTATACTTGCATCAAAACAGCGAGGTGGGGTAGCCTAGTGGTTAAAGCATTCGTTTGTCAAGCTGAAGATCCGGGTTCGATTCCCGACAAGAGTACAATGTGTGAAGCCTATTTCTGGTGTCCCCCGCCGTGATATTGCTGGAATATTGCTAAAAGCGGAGTAAAACCATACTCACTCACTCACTCATGAAAAACAGTCAACAGCAGGTGATTCCCCATACGCCTCAAAGGTAAAGTGTGATTCTAGCATGGATAGTGTACCTTTCGCAACAGAATACACACTAACCCCTGCTTTGTCTAACAAGAAGAAACCATGGCAACCAGACCAGCAGTGTGGTCTAACGATAAACACAAAACACACATCTGTCGAGGTGAGGTGACGAAGATACCAGACTTACCTGGACACAGAACTCGACTCTCCTTCTGTCAGCCTCCTTCTTGCAATAGAAGTAGAAATTAGTTCTTATCTGTCCTCCATCTTGGCTGTAAAGCAATATATCAGCTAGAATCAGTCAACAGACACTGACATGATATACTAATGGTCCATATACTCAATGATTACCAAGTGGGAACAGGCAGGAGGGTGTTGACTTCAGCTGTAATTTCCGAATAGCATTTGACAGGTTGCAGTACTTTTGACTGGTTGACGGTAAAATGTCAGTAGTAATACAAGAGTTAATATTTTCTACTTTGGATTAATAGATGCTGTATTTTTTAAATCAGTGACAGTCATGCCTAATTTTGAAGACTGAAACTTATACAATTTAGAGTGAGTGAGTGAGTGAGTGAGTGAGTGAGTGAGTGAGTGAGTGAGTGAGTGAGTGAGTGAGTGAGTGAGTGAGTGAGGTTTTACGCCGCTTTTAGCAATATTCCAGCAATATCACGGCGGGGGACACCAGAAATGGTCTTTACACATTGTACCCATGTCGGGAATCGAACCCGGGTCTTCGGCATGACGAGCGAACGCTTTAACCACTAGGCTACCCGACCGCCCCTATACAATTTAGAACTGACTTCATTATGTTTTTATGTTTATGAGATACAAACTGGTTTCTTTGTTCCTTTCTTAGCGCAAAAACATATTGAATTTAATTTTTATAATAAGTATAAATAATAAATTCACATACTTTAACCATTAACACCAAAACTGTAGACAATGATACAAAATCAGTGCTATCACTCAGCACAATAATGCAACACAAGCCCTGCCCACTCTATTTTCAACCAATCAGTAAACTGCTGTCTGCTAGTGGGTGTGGCCTATTGTTTTCGGTTTAAGGAATATTAAAGCAAAATATATTGCTTGCCTCAGCCAATCAAATGACACGGAATCACTTGCACATTATTTATTTTGGGGTAATTCAAATTATCTCTAATGATGAAATGAAACAATGAAAGAATGGACCATTCATAATACCAGTCTCTGGGTTGTCTAGTCTTGATTTGAATATTCACAAGCTGCCATCAGGCAAACAAAACAAACAACATAATCGACCATTGCTCCAGATACTTAATTAATCCTGGTCATATTAAAAAATATTTCCCACTCACTAGCAATGATAAAGATCTCAAACAACAGTTACAATGACCTTCCATGCCCAGGCAGTGGACAGAGTTATGTCCCTTAGTTGTGCCAAGATCAGCTGCTCAGAGTTTCAAATTCCATATTTATTCAGATTAGGATTCTCGTTTTAGTCAGCACTCTTGCTGATTTTGACCAAGTTAGAAATATCACAGAACGGTATTGCCTCGGGCTTTCTCACGATATCAGTGATATTAAAATGACATGCCATGATAAAATTCAACCTCATTAAAATAAGATCTTAGTTTTCGCTACCGCCAAACAAAGATCTAAGGGACATCCCATGAGGGATCACGTCAGACCGACCTTTTATCCGAAACAATCAGAGCGTCGCTTACCAGATCATGAAAGTGACAGTCGGAATGTGATTTCTAATCATGCAACCTCGAAAACTGTAACACGGGGTATTCCGATCGATAGTTACTGGCTTAACACCTGAATCCATACAATCTTGCCGATCTATTAGCCATTCCAGAATGTTCTTTTGTTCAGGTTTCAATAATTTAATGAAGATTTTGTCAAAATATGTTTTGCAGCGTAGTCGCCAAATTGAAATTAGAACCATAAAGCACGAGAAAGCTGCCTTCTGATTGGCTTATGTTGACTTCTTGTCAGTCATTCCATTGGTCGGTCAAAGTTTGCAGAAGGTCGGTCTGACGTGACCCGTAATGGGGTGTCCTCAGATCTTTGTTTAGCGGAAGCGAGAACTAACATCTGACTTTAATGAGATTGAATTTTATCATGGCATGTCAGTTTAATATCACTGATATCGTGAGAAAGCCCAGGGTGATACCTTTCTTAGATATTTTTAACTTGGTCGAAATCTGCAAGAGTGCTGACAAAACAAGAATCCTAATCTGAATGAATATGGAATTTGAAACTCAGCTGAGCAGCTGATCTTGGCACAACTAAGGGACATAACCCTGTCCACTGCCTGGGCATGGAAGGTCATTGCAACTGTTGAAAAAATTTCAACGTTCAAAATGGTGATCAATATCTCACTCACTCACTCACTCACTCACTCACCTACACCAACCTGTTATAGCGACTGATTTACAACACCCATTGTCTGAAGAACATTTAATTGCAAAGGCTCTTTTTATATGTATATATCTACATGTATAAAGTAAAACTGTATATACCACATGCCATCGTCTCCAAGTTGTCACTTCCTACTGAGAACCATACGTCGGCCTCTTGCATATACGAGTATGCAAATTATTTATTAATCAATGTCGGACCACGTCACGCATTGTTAAACCACTCACCCACTCAGACAACAATTCTGTTGTATATTTTCTCAGGTGGGATGCTTGTAATCATAGATTTATGTGGAGAGTCATTGAATGAAGTGAAGCTGTCACTATATAACATGGCCACCATCTGGAGGAGAGCTGCTCCGCGAGCCAAAGGGTCCATGTGGTTGCGGACAAAATTGTCAGCCAGGGAAGTACACAGAATCTGATCATGATGATTGAAATCCTGATATTCAAGAAAAATAAAAAAAGGTATTTTTTTAGCATTATTGGGTTATTAATGCCAGCAAATTGGCCCATGTAATGTCCATAAAGAACACACTCACTGTTTCTTATTTTATCGACTACAGATCTTCTTGTGGAGCATACAGTAGTAAGAAGGTCCAAATTTAAAAAATGTGTTTTGCTCATCATTTCATATTTTTGGGGTGTAAAGTTGTTTGGGTCTGTTGGGTTAGTGAGAAAAAGAAAATGCTAAGTTTCAAGTGAATGAGTATGGTTTTATGGCACTTTTAACAATATTTCAATAATTCACAGAGGGGACACCTAATATTGGCTTCACACAATGTACCCAGGTGGGGAATTGAACCCAGGTCTTTGGTGTCATGAGTGAATGCTTTAAGAAAAGGATAAAACACGCCTCCTCGGTTTTGGTTGAAAATGTATAACCTTCAATGAGGGAGCCACATTATGAACTGTCTAACTGCAAGATATAATCGAAAAAATAAGAAAACATTGACATACCTTATAGTGAAACAATACAGTGTGTCACGGTGTAAAAGGAAATATATCAAAACATGCAAGAGAAAAAATGTGCAGCATGGACCAGCTAAAGTCATGACAAGTAAAATTGAACAACTTCTCATCACCTGCTACAGAGGGAAAATAATGGGTAACAAAACTTAACACCACATGTGAGGTTGCAGATTCAATTCATGTCATGGAATTTTCATGCAAAAAAAATGTAACTTTTAACCAATCATCTAACACAATTGTTTTCATATCAAAAGGCAAGTTTATAAAACCTTAACTGGAAAACCTAGGTATTACAATTGAAATGCTAAACCTCAAAGCAGGTTTAGAAGTAACCCATTTCAAAACCTAGGTTGGGAGTGAGTGAGTTGGGTTTAACGCCGCTTTTAACATTATTCCAGTTATATCACGGCGTGTCAGCTTAATGTGGGAGGAAAGCCCGAAGTGATGCAGGTCTCGGACGTTTACCACTTCGGTGAAACCCACGAGCAAGGGCATGGTACTGACAAACCTAGAAACATAATCGGGGCGAACCGGGATTCGAACCCATAATCATAGGTTTCTGGCATGCCCAAGGGACGCAACTCTGCACAGCGAATTGCGGCGCCTCAGACGACTGGGCCACCCGTGCCCCCCTAGGTTGGGAAGAAAACCGCTTCAAATCCTATTTTTGGAAGATGAGTTGGTTACTATAGGTTCACCCAAGGTTGTCAGGAACCTAATGCAAGATGGGGTAACACGGTGATAGGTTTATAACCACTATAGGCTACCCCACAGCCCCTATGTTTCAAGAGCAGGGTGTCTAATAGTTTAACAGTAAGATGTGTATGCTTTTGTTCTCTTCAAAGGGAGTTTGCAGTCACAAGCGACTACACATACCATGCATTTGATCATTTATTATTCAAAAGATCATCAGTAACTGCCGAGCAAAAGTAATATTACCCCCATGTTTGATGTCGGCTAAAAATGAAACAAACAAGAAATAGTTATCCTATGGTGATGTATTAAACGGGTGTCATAGTTGTTTTTTTAACCTTAAGTTTTCAGTGTTTCTCAGGTGTTTTCAGCCGAGTAACGTTTCGAACAATTTGTTATTTTTCTTGTCAAATTCAATTTTCAAGTACATGTATATACTTTATTTCACCTGGCAGTGAGTGAGTGAGTTTAGTATGGTGCTGACAAACCTAGAAACATAATTGGGGCGAACAAGGATTTGAACCCATAATCATAGGTTTCTGGCATGCCCAAGGGACGGAACTCTGCACAGCGAATCGTCACCTGAAGATTATTTTTATTTGGGCTCAGGAACACAAACCTGTTAACCAACAAATTAGAAAAAGTGTCGCCTTAGATGTGTATCAGGTGGTTACAGCTTGTGACTTGGGATTCAAACTGGAAACCCATACACACAATGCAGCCTGGATACTAAGGGGCATAACTCTGCACCGGGATGTTAAACCAAAGGAAAAAAATCCATTTTTCAACCAAATGTTATTTTATGACACAGCTTAATTCAGTTCAACAACTTTTAACATACGTATTTGGAAAATTTTAGCAATTCAACTGAAGATTTATGTGCCTTTAATCTGAAAAAATTATATTATGTATACTTGAGACTGAGCATGGTGACACTGAGAGAGCAATGGACTCCATCGCCCTAAACCTACTAAACTGTTCTAAATTGCTCTACAACCCGACAAGCTTGATTTAAGGTCTCTTATTAAATCGCTATACAACCCGACAAGCTTGATTTAAGGTCTCTTACCATGGCATTTGCTAAACTGGGTTAAGAAAGTTCAATGCCCTGCCAACATGTTTGTTTTTAATAAAACTTAATGTCTTAAAGAAAATCTACCAATAGAATTTGACATATTTGTCAATCACATTAAAATCAGATCTTAGTTCTCGCTATCGCCTAAACAAAGATCTGAGGACATCCCATAACGGGTCACATCAGAACGACCTTTCATCCGACCAATGAAAGCGTCGCTTACCAGATCATGAAGTGACATTCGGAATATGTTTTCTAGTCATGCAACCTCGAAAACGTTAACATGGGGTATTCCGAATGACAGTAACGACTGATTCCGTAAAAATTATCGTCTATCTCTCGCTTCCGTGGGATAAACATTTGAACGGGGGAGGCGTTGCACAGTACGCGGGAAGCACTGCCATACAATCTCAACCATATATTAGACATTCCGGAATGTTTGTTTGTTCAGTTTTCAAAATTTTAATCGAGAACTGTGTCAACATATTTTTCAAGCGTAGTCTGAAAAAGAAGTCGCCAGGTTGAAACGAGTGCCATAAAGCTCGAGAAAGCTGCTTTCTAATTGGCTGATGTCGACTTCTTGTTAGTCATTTCAGTGATTGGTCAAAGTTCGCGAAAGGTCGTTCTGGTGTGACCCATAATGGGATGTCCTCAGATCTTTGTTCAGCGACAACGAGAACTGATTTTAATGAGATTGACATATTTGTACATGTAGGACTTTTACTTGAGTGAGTGAGGTTCAACGCCACTTTGAACAGTATTCCAGGTATATCACAGCATGTCAGCTTAAAGTGGGAGGAAAGCCAGAAGTGTTGCAGGTCTCAGATGTTTACCACTTTGGCGAAACCAACAGGCACAATAGAAACACAAACCTAGAAACATAGTTGGGGCCAACCGGGGTACGAAACAATCGTAGTTTTCTGATGTACTCAAGGAATGCAACTCTTCACAGCGAAATGGACACCTTGGACGACTGGGCCACATAAACAAACAAACAAACTTATGTATTCCAATATAATATTGTAACATATAATTGTGTGTGCTATACTGTATTCGAAGTAATAAGCACCTAGGGCGCTCTCAAAATTAGAAATATGGGGCTCTTATTAGAATATAATTTTGGTGAGAAAAAAACAGAGTTGAAAGATTGTAAATTCCGTGGTTTATGCTGACAGCCTGAAATGATACAAAAGAAAAGACTGTGCGTATTATATACGACAGATACATTTTCCAGAATTTAATTGCCCATACTCAAGGGTGCATATTAAACACGAGTGTGTATTATACACGAATAAATAAGTGTACATTGATCAATAGCCAATATATAAGCAAATATCGCCGTGGGCGCTTATTAGAGCGGGGCGTATATTACATCAAATACGGTAATCTTTTTATTCATACTGATAACACCATTATTCACAACCATACACATGACCTCGGAACATATACTCGACTCTTGTCCTATTAGTAAATCAGAGGTTCCAAATAACAATGACATATGTCTCTGATCAAAACCCAATGTGATCATTAACAAATTCATAACAGAGTTGTCTCCTTCTCTCTCAAACAGGCCAGCTGGCCATTTCAATTTCTGACAGTATAAATGAACGGATAGGTTCCAAAATACAGATCTGTGGTTCCTGGAATATATCAAGCCTATGTGAAAATACAATTTGGGGAGAAAGCATGAAAAATAATTACGAATAGAGTGTGTTTTTAATTATGTTCTTCAACTTCAGAAAAAATTCTGACCATAATCCCTCCTTCAAATTTTAACCCTAACCCTAGATTCAAATATTTGTAACTTTCGCTTGTTCCTTTTCATACTAAAGAAAACCATCGACGCACAAACTATTTTTTAATAGTTCTAGCCTGGGTTTATGAGAGAGATAAAAAAATGAGGCGTGGTTTCTGTAGCATGTTGTCAATGTATCATACCAATTTATAGAGGGGTTGAATTGAACTTAACCATTAGTGGAGTAGGTTGTTATTGGGTGTGTCACCATTATTACTCCGCCAAAGCCACTTCACTCATAATCTTCGCTGGTAGCATAGAGTTCCAATTCCTTTTATGCCAGTCAAATCTACAGGTAATAGATCTACACAGTCTGTTTATCTCCTAATTGCTGACCTGCGTACTCGTACGTTATCCTCTGGTTTGAAGTCCTACAAGAGAAACGTGCGATTTTACGTACGATTGATAAGGATATATCACCTGCACAGACAACGATGCTTCATTTGATAATACACTTGTTGAATGTGGCAGGTAAATCAATGCGCCGTCCCATAATGTGTTTCAAAGTTTATAAGGTGACTGCAAATCAGGTCATTTACGAGATCTGTCATGATTTTGTTTGCGATAATTACCTCAGGGGCCGTCGACCATCCTTGTGAAAACCATTTCCTCGTTTCTCAGGAATCATCCGAGCGTGATTATGTAAAAAGTGAGAGTTACTTCCCTTGGACTGCCCCAGCCAACGATGCTTCACAGTCACAGCAAATATATGATTACGTAATTATTATTTCTGAATGCCAGAAAGTCTACGTAGAATCTTGATACCCGTGACGGTCCGGGGTAGAATAGGTCTTCAGCAACCCATGCTTGCCGTAAGAGGCAACTAAAGGGATCAGGTGGTGAGGCTCGCTGATTTGGTTGATGCATGTCATCGTATCCCAATTGCGTAGATCGATGCTCATGACATCAATCACTGGATGGTCTGGTCCAGACTCGATTATTTACAGACCGCCTTGTTAAAACTTGAATATTGCTGAGTGCGACGTCAAACAACAAACAAACAAACATGTCCTGTTAATATAATAACTATAAAAGCAGGACATTGCTCTCTGAATAAGAGCGATTTATCAGAGTTCTGTTTTTAACTGTTTTGGCATAAACAATAGCTAGGATCAAGGTCAAGTTAGGTATCGAGTTCTATTTATGACGTTTTTTCTTAGTGATATCATTTATCATACCCCGAAATCCATGGTATTTTTTACTCAGATTGAAAACAGTTACGACAGAAAATGTTACTTCACTGTAGTGAAAAGATATTTCATATTTGCTGTTAAAACAGTACGTATTTCATTGGCAAATGTTTAATGAGTGAGTTTGGTTCCTCAACGCCGCTTTGAATAGTATTAGTGTCAGCTTAATGTTGGAGAAAAGCCCGAAGTGATACAGGTCTAAGACGTTTATCGCTTTGGTAAACCCTATGAGCCAGGGTATGGTGTTGACAAACCTAGAAACATAATAGGAGCGAATAGGGATTCGAACCCACGATCATAGGTTTCTGGCGTGCCCAAAGGACGCAACACAGCGAACCCTATTCGACTGGGCCAACCGTTCCCCACAATGAGGGTGAAATGAATAACAAGTATTGCCCCAAATATCAATAGGGGCATAGGTGTCAGTGCATACTGTCACTATTTATCACTGAGTCATCTTCCCGAGGCAAGCGAGTTAACTGACTGTATATATATAATATATTTCAGATGCAATTTAAAGCACATCGGGACGTGCGGAATTAAACAGTGTAATTGAACACACTTAACTGTGTCTTGGGTATATTTTTAGATGCAGGACATATATAAAATCAAAAATTATTTCTGAGGGATTCTTTGACGAAGAACTTGAAATCATACGCGCATTCTGATTGGTTTGTCGTATTTTCGCACATAACATTCATCGATAGGGGGACGAGTCTTCTTGTAGGTTACGGAAAGGGGCGAGTGGTGACGAATGTGAAGGCTGCCTTTTGTTCAGATGACGTAATGTAATCAATTTGTGGCGTCATGAACAGTGGGTGACGTCATATCGTATTTTCTCAACAATGAAGCACTGTTACGTCATGTTCGGATTTCATCAAAGTGTTACACGTTTGAATCACTTCGGGCTTTCCTCCCACACTAAGCTGACACGCCGTGATATAACTGGAATACCTTTCAAAGCGGAGTAAATACAAAACTCACTCACTAAATCATATCTTCAACTGACCAGTCATCATTGAGAATCACTGTTGTCATTGTTATTGATCAGTTGCAAAATAATACAAAGCAAAAACAGTAAAGACAATGTTTTCTATTCAAAGGGCCAATTTTGCTCGACGGAAATAACAAATTGTAACGGTACATGTTCAAATTGTTGACAACTAGCACGTTTTAGACAGCATTAAATATAATCAAGTGCATAGGAATGGCTAAAAGTTGAAAATCTAAGTATGAGCAAATCCTGAAGATGATTGTTTTGTTTTTTCTTCATCTCCTAAAAAGGGTCAGCTAGGATCAAAGACTTGCTCATGTTCAAGTCCTAGAATAAAGCCAATAGCAGCCTTTTTGACACATGTAGCCTCACTAATGTATTTAAATGTTGTTATGAACCAGAAACATGCAAGTGTTCAAATAAACATGTAAGGTGAGGTGAGGTGAGGTGAGGTGAGGTGAGGTGAGGTGAGGTGAGGTAAGGTGAGGTGAAATGTGTGGTGTCCAAGACGTGTTATAGTGTGTGTGTGTGTGTGTGTGTGTGTGTGTGTGTGCGCGCGCGCGCGCGTGTGTGTGTGTGTGTGTCTGTGTGTGTGTGTCTGTGTGTGTGTGTGTGTGTGTGTGTGTGTGTGTGTGTGTGTGTGTGTGTGTGTGTGTGTGTGTGTGTCTGTCTGTGTGTGTGTGTCTGTGTGTGTCTGTGTGTGTGTGTGTGTGTGTGTGTGTGTGTGTGTGTGTGTGTGTGCTTGTACTAGTCCGGACTATTGTCGATTTATTGTGCTAGCATACTGAGATACCATGCTGCAGTTTAACATGAATACCCCACTCAGAGTCAGTATACTGACTCCGAGCCGACCAGTCCTTGTTTTAGCCCCTTAATTCCGAGCGCCAGACAGGGTAACAACAAGTACCATCTTTAACGTCTTTTGGTATGACGCGGCCAGGGATCGAACCCCGAACCTTCCCCTCTCCGGTCTGGCGCTCTACCACAAGAGGTTTAGGTCTAAATGAACAGTCATGTAAACACGTGTTTTTCATGTAAACATATCTGAACAATAACATAACTGTTCATATTTCTTTTTTCATTTTTTAATCAGATCCCAAGGGCCAAAAATATCCTTTTACCATATACCTTGTCTTTAACATGTTCTAATCTTAAGAAGATTCACCAAGATTCTGGGGCGGGCGGTCGTTTTCAGTGTGTGTCTGATAGCAGTATTTCGTGTCTTGTGATAAGTCGAAACAGTTTTTTTATTCAACCATGTAATCTTTTCGGGCTAGATTTATCGAGAACACGAAACTTGATTACACTAATTGGAAAATTGACTGCAAACTGGCAACTCGTGATACAATGATAAATACCGATTAGCAGCTGTTTTGAAGATTGTGCTCATCTATTTGTACCCAAGCACATTAAGCACAACCGTTATCTGTTTCGGAAATAGGCAAGATGTTTATAGTTTAAGCTATATATACAAGTTGTAACGCTAAGCTGGCCCTGTTGGAATTCCGGGTTAGAATACGCTCGAATTCTTCACGACACTGAAGGATGATCAAATTATACTTGTTAATTATAATAAATTTAATGTCTTTAATTAGCGATAAATACTTCTGACTGCATCACTGCATTGCATATGTTCTCAAGAAAAAAGTCCGTTTGAAAATGCGCATCTTAGTCTACGATAGAATGTAGATAAACCTATTCTGTTCTTAAATTAACACGTGTTAAATGTAATATTTAGCGGTGTTGAATCAACGTTGAAAGCGTGAGGTTTAAATGTAACATTTAGCGGTGTTTAATCAACGAAGAACTCCGTGATTGTTGGTGATTGTTGGTCTTCGTTCACCGGTGGTGTGGACGTTGGTCATGATGTCGACAATTGGTTTATGGAGCCCTGATTCGATCATTTTCAGGCCTCCCTGAAAGAGCTAAAATTTTGCTGACCGCGACGTTAAACAACAAACAAAGCTCATCTGCATATTTGTCTCTTGTCGGTATTCTTTTTCTAGAGAAATATACAGCAATCCTCGTGTTTCTTTAATTGCGTCAAAGAATAACAGGTGTTTGTTTGCATCGAACAAAATGACAGAATGACAAAATGATGGTGTTGAAAGAAATGCTTGAAGTAATTGAAGCGGCCCTAAAATATTAATGGATTTCCCATACAACCGTTTGATGTTACACTTGACCCAATCGCATCTTTAATCGCATCAATTTACTTGAATCATTTTGGGTTTTTTGTTTGTTGTTTACCGCCACACTCAGCAATATTCCAGATATATTACAGCGCTCTGTAAATAATCGAGTCTGGACCAGATAATCTAGTGATTGATGTCATGAGCATCGACCCACGCAATTGGGATACGATGACACGCATCAGCCAGGTCACCGAGCCTGACCACCCGATCCCGTTAGTTGCCTCTTACGACAAGCATAGTCGCCTCTTAGGGCAAGCATAGGTTGCTGAAGACCTAATCCACCCCGGATTTACTTGAATCAAACAATGGAGACATGGTCAGGGTATTCGTCAGTTTTATATCTTTTACCTTGCTGTCGATCAGAAAAGTTTTATTTTGATAACAGATGTTGATTATACCCAGGCCAACTGCTTCATTCAAGGCATAAAATAAACATTGAGGTGAGGTGAAATGGGCTTTTACGTCGCGTCCAATATTATTGCACTTATATAGCGACGTGCATGTACGTGTGTGTGTTTGTGTGGCTGCCTGTACTAGTCCGGACTGATGCCGATTTATAGTGCTAGCTCACTGAGATACCATGCCGCAGTTTAACATAAATACCCACCTCAGACACGGTATACTGACTCCGAGCCGACCAGTCCTTGTTTTAGCCCCTTAATGCCGAGCGCCAGACAGGGTAACAACAAGTACCATCTTTTAACGTCTTTTGGTATGACGCGACCGGGAATCGAACCCCGGACATTCCGCTCTCCGGGCGGGCGCTCTACTTGACCACGGAGGCGGTCCGAATGTATTTAGAACTGCTGTGACAATGATGGGCGAAATACAGTCGATGGGCAATATCTTCGTTTGTGTAACATGTGACAAGACAAGATGTATAAGGGATATCGTTAAAATAGTCGTTGGACGACTAATTCTGTGCTGGGGGCGTGGTCAACTCCGCTGGGTAAGAAGTTAGGTCCCCAGCAACCTATGCTGGTCGTAAGAGGCGACTAAATGGATCGGTTGCAGGGTCAAACTTGGTGACTTGGTTGATTGTCTTCGATTATAATGTTGACAGCCATTATATAGCTGGAATGTTGCTGAGTGCGACGTTAAGAAGCAAAGAAACAAATCTGTCAAGCAGTTAATTTCATGAAAAACCCACAGTCACGCGATGTTAGTGAAATATAATCGCATTTTCACATCTCATCTTCGGGTCACCTCTTTGCGTCGTCGCATCGCGTCTTCGACTCATCGCCTCGCGTCTTCGA